CTTTGCTGTTTTTTTAACTACTGCAACCACTCCTATTTGGGCACGAGATCATACTGACGAACTCAAGCTTCATCAACTGCTACAATGCGGCTGCAAATTTCGCTTTCAAATTATCTTGGCACAACCCCAAAAATTCGTTGTTTGCCAAGCGACGTAAGCATTCGCGGTATTAAACTTGGTATCAAACGCGCACAAATTTTTTTTCATATTCAAATGTTTATTCAACAGTCAGTATTAATTTTTCGTTTTTCTGAACATTTCCATCGGTTACGACCATCACTAGGCGCCCTGAGTGGGGTCATCTTCACAGGTCTCTTCCCCTTGTTGAAGCAACCGAATCCAAATTTTGTTGAAAATATTTTCTTTTGTTCAGAAAATAAAAAATTAAATAATTATAATTGAATTTCCATAAAATTATTTTTGAACGCTATCAATACGAAACTTACAAACTCAACCACTGGCTTTTAATCCGTACGAAAGTATTTTATGAAGATTATAATAATTATTCCTTTTTCAGAGAAATCGCTGATTAGTTTTAAATACATATTTTCTTAATAAGTTTTCCTACCAGTCATATGTTCATATGTGTACATATATAAGAAACATACATATATAAGTTTGTTCTCCATTCACTTATACACCAAGTGTCGCGAACTCTAACCAGGTAACGTGCTGACCTATAAATTCTAAAACCAACAACAAAAACAGCTGTCAAAAGGCGTACTGAATCAATATCAGTAGTATATATATATATAATAAGTAGCAATAATTGCGATGGCAGCAAATACAGACGTATTTATACATATCTAATAATGCACACACACACATACACGTCCAAATATTAAACGGAATATTAAAAATTTATGTTCAATTAAGTGAAATTTATGATTTTTGACGAGCCGGACAACGCGTGCAGACGAGCGCGAGCAAATGACCACTTGACTGCCGTTTGAACCTTTGCCTAAATTGTTTCAAAGGCCGCACGTTTGCTTCTGTATGGCAATAGAATAAAAATTTATGTGCGTTCAGCAGCATTGCGAAGCAATTACCATTGAACCAAGCGGTTGACCGCCAGCCACTATTAAAGGGCTATGCGCTGCAGTCATTGTGAAGAGAGTGCCTCCTTCTTCCTCACGAAAGTGTGTAGTTGGTTGAAAACGTGACTCTTTCTGGCAGGAGTTGCCAACAATTTAACACCAACCGCCGTCGCTCTAATGACGATTAATTGCGAGGGTCGACCCAGAAATAGGAAATGACGAAGGAGAAGAAGAACGTAAATATATATATTGTTACGCAAGCGGATGGAGGGAGAGTGGCATTGCTGCTCTACGGAAAGCAGTAAAGCGAGCAGCAAGCTGCAAAATATGCAACGAAGGAGATGAAAGAGATGAAATAGATGAAAAAGATGTCAAGTCAAGGCGAAATGCGCGAACGTTTGCTATGTCGCCGCTATGAATGCAATGCAGGCGTTGCAAAATGCTTATTGCTGATTCTGCTGCTGCTGTAGCTTTTGCTGCTAAATTGCAATTCTCATTCATGAATTTATGTACCATAATTTACATGGCTAATGCTAATACATACATTGTAGTTGTCGTGGTTATTGCTGGCAGACATACAGACACACAAATTGATTTAATGGTGAATGAGTGAACGAGCAAGTGACAGGGTATATGCTTTGTAAGGCGTGCGGCATAATTAATCTTCACTCAGACTACAGAATTTTAGAATTTAAATTTGCAGAATGACAAAATATAAATGCATATTTGTACTTTTAAACATGGATATGTATGAAAATGTATCAAGATTTTACTTGAAATCACTTAAATAAATAATTTGCATTTTCTTCATAAAAAAGAGAAAACGGAAACAAGTTTTTATTGAAGCACCAGTTGTCCGCCGCGCAGCTTTCACATATTGAATATTCATGTTAGGTAAGATTGTGTTATGTTTCGTTAGGTAAAGTACTTTATATTTCATTTAAGGATAATATATAATTTATAAATCTGAATAAATCGACAGTCTTTATAATATTTTAATTAAATAAAATATTTTAATCAATTAAATGTGTACTTTTATAAATAGCATATGCCAGTTTTAATTGGACACTAGTTTTTTATTGTAGAAAAAATATTTATATTTATATTTTACATTTGAATAATAAAACCCAGTGCACGCTTGCCATTGTATTGATATGAAATCTTCTGGATTTTTCAGCAAGCGCAGCTTTTATAGCTGCTTGAGATGTGGAAAGGCGCATTAGGGTTCGCATACAATATAAGGGTGGTGTCCTTTTAAGCGTACGCTTAAACAATTATATGAATTTTGTTTTACTACCTCGCACAGAATTCTGGTAAAGAGCTTAGCGTTGTAACCCAGTTATCTCTTTTCGGAAAACGCTAAACAATCTAATCCACTGTACATGGGATTGTACTACCTTGAGGAAAAGCTGGAAGAGTTCAAAAGTTGGCAAGTATTCCCAATACTAGAGTTCTACGATTGATCCTCTTCAAATTCTTTCAATGTAATTACACCACATTAAAAGTCATGTTGAAATGCAGAAACATCACCAACAGGCTCTTAAAAGGATGCAATACAACCATGGTCTGGGTACCCGAATATTAAGACATCTTAGACAACTGTATGGCGGATGGTTTGTCAGAGACGGTACCACTCTAGCCCAGCACGTTGCGATCATACCCGAGTCTACCCTTGTCAAAATTCATACTGAAATTGACTTTCACCAAAAAATCAAAAACCAGATGGCTGGGTGAAGCAACTTGTATCGTGACTAGACAGCTTTGTCTTATGCTGGATGCTAAAATACCAAGGAAACTGAACCATCTAGATCGGTTTACCATTAAGTCAAAATAGGACCCACTAACTGGACACCGTTTAATTGAACTTCACGGTAAGAGCAAGGACGAAGAAGAGAATAAGTCAATTGAGCACTACCTATGTCACTACCCTGCCCTAAGAAACACACTGCATAAGGTATCGCATCGTTCATAGAACAGACGAAATTACTCGTATAACTGAGAAACTGAGACATACTCCATAGCGGTATTGCAACGGGGCCTCAGGCTTAAGCACACTGGTCGCTCTGATCAGCAACATCAACAACCTCAACAACTAAACTTATTTATGACTTATCCTAATCTGAATACTAGGGTGAAGAATTTAGTGAGAAAATTCACACATATGGATTATGCTTTTGAAACTTTTAATGCCATAGAGCTTGCTTTCAGGGCGTGGTGAAGAATCTACTCTGCTACAGGTTTATCGTGGTTAGATATAACAACTTTATTAGCAAACTTAGTACCTTGCAAAATGCTTTTGACGACCGGTTCTGAAATTAGACCTAAGCAAGAAAAGCTAACTTGGAATAAGCGAAAAAAACTTGATAGAAACTTCAATAAGACACTCAATCGACAGAGATTGGTTAATTTAATATGATATATAATAAAATCCTGACACCTGGGAGGCATTTAGAGATAGCTAGCTGACACAAATTGACATTTAAGAGTCATGTTCGATAGAGATCTGTCTCTTGGAATATCCACCATGCAGGAAGCTGTCTTATTTCACCAAAAAACATTTTGGTTTCTTGACGACATAGCTAAAACAACCTTGTTCTTTAAAATATTTATCTGATGGAGAGGTTAGAGAAACTGATAATAGTAAGTGCTTGCATATGGGAGGAATTTCTTTATAAAAATATGCAGTTTCACGGTTGGAAAATACATTAAGCTGATTATAATTTTCTCTTGGACAGCAGAACCCCACTCAAGGTTGGCAAATTCTAATTTTATATTAAAAGTTAATCGTTTCAAGGATCACTGTAGCTTATGGTTTATGAAAGAAAGTCAAAGAATTTAGCCAAACACTGTCATATTCTAATAAGTTTGAAAGCCTAGCCTATATTTAGGGGCTCAACCAGTATTACAGCTAAAAAGGTAATTTTTGGAAATAAAAACAAAAATGTTTTACGATATCAGCGGTGTATATGTCTATAAATAATAAATAAGGTATCTTTACAAAAAATTTTCAAACGGAAATCTTGCATTCTTGAGATATGCGCTATACCGAGTTTCCATTTTGCATCCAATCTGCCTGCAGCGTTCCTGAAATTAAATTATAATATAAAAGGGACACGCTGTTGAGTTAAAAAATTTAGCTGAAAAAATAGTGTCGTATTGAAATGAAGTCAAAGTTTACCATAAAAATCTGATATTTTCCACACCAAATTTATGATTTTAATACGCAGCGAATATCCAAGAACGTTCTTTCTAGAAAAACCCGTTTGAAAAAAAATTACTACATCATCCGGGTTAATTCTTGTTCTTTAATTTAAATAAAATAAATTAAGTTAATTTATCGAATTGCGGTCGCCGCAGGGAATATCAAACCATCCAAGTATAATGTATTATATAAGCTTCGGAGAACAGAAAAACTATTTTTTTAAACGGCATATTGGTGGAGCATCTTAATATAAACCGCTAGCAGGAATAAATCGAAAAACTTAAAAAAAAAAACAGAAAATATCGTGCCTTCATGGAATATTATATTTTATAATGAATGCAAATGAGTGCCTGGGCGGATGAGTGACGACCCGAGCGAATGACCGAAGTTTAGAAAAGCTTGAAGTAGCTCATTTATATATTCAAAATTCATGTAAAGAAGTAAAATGAACATGAACACGCATTTGTGATAAAAATGCATAATCATCAATATCAAATTGGCATACTATAACTCTCACATACACATGTATGTATTTACACAACCCTTCACAGTGATAAATTGATTGTATATATTTATTGCTCAATTAATTTGTATTCTCTTTTGAACTACTGAACTTGTCCCTTGACGCTTTTGTTGTTCACACAATTCTTTAAGCGACTTTTCTGCCTACCATTTCGCTTTCTACGCTGTTGCTGTGCTCGCCCTTCAAACAACACTACTCATTATGATATAATTAAATATTCTTTTTTATTACAAAGTGATTATTAATAACAAATGTTTGCTACAACTTAATAAGAGCACTTAAGTACTTACATGTATATGAATTTGTACGAGTATACTCGTAGGTGTAGCAGCTGCTATGTAATTATGTACACAATAATATTGAGTGCATTGTATGTTCACCAAAGGAACACAACGAGTGAAATTAATTGTGTTACTCCGCCATAAACTATTGTTGTTGTACTTATTTATTCACAAATTTGTTATTATGGTACATTGCAAACATATCTACAAACATACATACATACAGACATACATAATTAGCATGCGCCATGAACTTAGTAAATAGGTGTGTCAAAAATAGTGTTATGTACTAATTAAACGCACATGTGTTAGTGGCGTAGGTGTATCAGCGTGTGTGCGTGCGTATATTTAAATAGCGGCTGCAAAGGCGATGAACATAAACATGGGTTGTGAGCAGCATCATCATCATAATCATCATCATCAAAATCATCATCAACATTATCTTCGACAACGACATCAACGGCAGTCCCATCAACAAAATCAACATCATCAGCAATATTATCACAGGCAACAGCCTCACGTGGAGGCGCTAGTGGGGGCAGCGGCATACAAGCATAAACAACAAACTGATAGCCACTGCCAACAACGACATCAGCAACAGCAGCATTATCATCAATATAATTACTCATATCAGCAGCCGCATCAGCAGTATCAGTTATGGTTCATTATCTCTGTGATATTGTTCTTAATCGGTAAGCAAATTGTTATTTTATTATAGTTAGCAGATATATTGTATACATACGTACACGTATTTACACTTAATTCCATCAATGTAGTAACTAATTAATATGAAATTCAATATAAAGCATAAATGAGTTTGTGGCGATGGTAAAGTAATATTTACATGAGCCTGGCAAGGGAATTCATAAGTTCGTCATCAATAAAGTTGTCATAATTCATTACACGATGTTTCATAAAAATATTTTAAACTTCATTTTAGAAAGCGCCTTATTAAATCTACAAAAACAGAACAAATTTGCTAAATTTATATTGCTTATTTTTTAGTTTCTTATATTTTTGCTTTTTTATTTCGCTTTTCCAATCATTGCTTTTGTGGAATACGAAAATACACTTAATGTAAAGGCCATTTAACTCAGCCAATTTAAATTAAACAATTTAAAACTAAGTTTTGATAGAGTTTTTGGAACAGAAACACTTTTATTTTACTATTTACTCATATTTTTCCAATATCTTTTTCCTTTTAATGGTTTTATGTATTTTTAATTACGGTGAATAGCGCGATTTCATCTTGATACTCAAATATCAGCTCGCACAAATCGATTTGAGCTGTGATGAATTCCAGTTATTTAAAGACCGGATCGAACTAAAACTCGAAATGGTTAACGGTTAAACAACTGGGATTTAATGAAATGTTTTTGTAAACTAGTTTTAAGAAACTAAGTGTTTGCACTGCTATTTATTCTGCCGAAAAAATTCCAAAATAAAAAAATAGAAAAAAACAAAAGAAAGCTCCTGGATGCATTCTAGGATATAACTTTCGATATTGCATAGGCTGAGGCTATGCACCCAATGAGCAGATCTGAGTATTTACATATTCATTTCCTTCATAGACATAAAACATTTCAAAATATTCATATCGATATAAAGCCTCCAATGACGCCAGCGACGAAATAGCTGCTGAGCTGGAACTAAGCGCCATGTTGAGGCGCATGGGAGAAACATCAGCCATTTTCATACTGATGAAGGAAATATATGTAACTGCAACTACTTAATGCTAACAATTCCAGATTTTATTCGTTTTTATCTTTACTTCATAAAAGTTATAAAATTTTATTCTCTGTTTTTACATTTGAATCTGAAAGTAAGCGTTTACTCTTCATGTTATACTTAAGCAAAACGAAATCTGTGAACACACATTTTTCTAAATTTTTCCCTAGCAAAACTCCAATTCGCGTACCTGATGACGATTTTGTGCAAAAACGCTTATGCTTGATAGTTTCCAGGAAAACGGAATTTTCAAAAAGTCAATTTTAGGGTCACAAGCATTAAGCATGGCAATTACATTAAGTTTTAAAAACAAAACTTTGTGATTCAATTTTCTATTAAGAGAACTTTAATATCAACCAATTTTGGAAAAGACCTGCGAAAAGACAAGCCACAGACACCACCTTTTCGTAGATTTTTAAGCAGACTTTGACAACACGAAAAGTGGCTACTTTGGACTGAGTAGGAGTAATTGAAAAGTATAGTCCTCTTCCGACGAACAAAAACCATACTCTACAAGTCCCTCATCGTTCCCGTCCTGCAACGTGGTGTGGAAGCATGGACGATGGCAACATCTGATGAGTCGGCCTAAGGAGTTTTCGAGAGAAAGGTTTTTGAGAAAGGTTAAGATTTATGGTCCTTTGCGCGTACTCCAGATTTAAAAATTTCCGACGAAGTGCCCGCCGGTGGATTCAGAGGAATGGAAAGAGCACGACGGCATTAGAAAGACCAGGCAGAGAAGAACCCTTTTGCACTGGGTATCCCCAATTTGCGCAATATAGCGAAAAGAAGAAATGTATATCTATACAACCAATAGCGCTGGAATGCTTGTGCTTATACGAGCAGTTCTCGAGATGTGCAAATAAGTGAAAAAATATATAAAAATTGGCTCAAAAGGGAATACAAAAAATGTGAGAGTACAATAAATGCGTTTGCTCATGTGCGCTAATAAATATGCTCTCACGTACTCCCAAGCCAACTGTAGCCTTGGTAAATAATTAATGTCAAAATAATTTAGTTACAAAGATTTTCACTCAAAGCATACTAAAATACTTTTCCAAACAGAACAAGCACAACAAGAAACACACAATAAAGCAGAGAAGGAGCTCGCGTAGGGAGAGCTATATTATTTTCTGTAGGTAGAACAAAATAGCCTTAGTATATATATTTAGCATAGCGTACATGCAAATGTGTAAAATTGTTATACAAAAACACAATGTGCTGCCTGAGAAAACTTCCGAGAAATTTCTTATAAGCTTTATTATTTGTTCTATTTTTAATTTTTTCGTTTTTTTGGTTTGTTTTTTATTTGGCTCACCAAACACGCATATATTATATAATTAAATGTCAGCAGAACATTGTAAGAGAGCACATTCCACGCTACCAGAGCGTGTTCACAATTTTAGCTGATTACCAGGATAAATACTTAAGGTTACGTATACGCTAAGGAGGCCAACAATTCATGTGTAAATAACAAAGGCGGCAGATTTAACAAAAGACAAAGTATGTCATAAGAAATTTCAACCATTTTGTCTGGCAGTAAGCAAATTCGCCCTGCAAAACCAACAATAACGCGCACATGCATAGAAAAGGTACTTGATATGTGCTGGTAGACAGATAAGCCGTTACACCATTTTATACGTAATGAGCAGACAGGAAATCGGAAAACGCTGAAACCAGCATGCATAAGATAAAGGTAAGCCGTGAGACGCACACAGGCTTAGAATACAAATTATCCTATTAATAAGCATCCATTAAGTTCGCTGCTGCTGTTCCACTTTTTTACTACTGCCTGTTTCTACATCTAATGCTGCTAATTCCACTGCTGGTTAGCTTGTTCTGCTGCTCAGAGGAATACGCGTGCTGCTGCCTGCTGCTTGCTGATTGCCTCTAAGAAGACACTGTCAGTGACAGTGACACTTCCGTACTTTTATGTTGCAGTTGGCAGTTGGCGCCTCAAACTCGTTAGCATTATTTAGCTATAGTATTAACTCACTGTTAGCGAATGAAGTTTTACATTGGAATGGCGAGATTGAGCAAATAAAAATTCAAAACAAATTAAAATTAATTGTTGACACGAAAACGAAGAGTTGGCAGAAGGCTGTTAGAATTGGAAAAAGCTGCAAATGACAGCAACACGCGACTCGGTCAAAATAAATAAGAGGTTGTTGCTACCTTTATAAAGAAGCTTGTAGTTGATTAGTTTAAGTTAATACTGAAACTCTGAAAGTATTAATTGTTTGCAAATATTTGCTAGGGACTGCTTTTGTAATTGCTTAAGAATCCTACTAAAGGTAGGTAAAAATTTTTCCACGTAAATTAAACGTTAGTCTCAGCAATAAAGTCGTTCAAACAGATATATGTATACAAACTTTCAGTAACCAGTAACACTAAATTGCTATGAAAAACATTTTTTATTGTACATTATTTAATTTAATACAGTTAAATATTTTTACTGCAGTATTTTTGTGTACATTTAAATACTTTCTTTTGCTTTCGAACATTATCTAATCAACTTAATTGAATAAATTTCGTTTAAATTCCTTAAACTATCATTTCATTTAATTTTATTATATTTAATGTTATGTAATTTTTAAATTTTTTATTTAATTTTATTCTATTTTAATTTAGTTTATTTTATTTTATTTTATTTTATTTTATTTTATTTTATTTTATTTTATTTTATTTTATTTTATTTTATTTTATTTTATTTTATTTTATTTTATTTTATTTTATTTTATTTTATTTTATTTTATTTTATTTTATTTTATTTTATTTTATTTTATTTTATTTTATTTTATTTTATTTTATTTTATTTTATTTTATTTTATTTTATTTTATTTTATTTTATTTTATTTTATTTTATTTTATTTTATTTTATTTTATTTTATTTTATTTTATTTTATTTTATTTTATTTTATTTTATTTTATTTTATTTTATTTTATTTTATTTTATTTTATTTTATTTTATTTTATTTTATTTTATTTTATTTTATTTTATTTTATTTTATTTTATTTTATTTTATTTTATTTTATTTTATTTTATTTTATTTTATTTTATTTTATTTTATTTTATTTTATTTTATTTTATTTTATTTTATTTTATTTTATTTTATTTTATTTTATTTTATTTTATTTTATTTTATTTTATTTTATTTTATTTTATTTTATTTTATTTTATTTTATTTTATTTTATTTTATTTTATTTTATTTTATTTTATTTTATTTTATTTTATTTTATTTTATTTTATTTTATTTTATTTTATTTTATTTTATTTTATTTTATTTTATTTTATTTTATTTTATTTTATTTTATTTTATTTTATTTTATTTTATTTTATTTTGTTTTATTTAATTTTACTTAATTTTTTTTTATTTTTTTTTTATATTATTTTATTTTTCTTTATTTTATTCTATTTCATTTTGATTATTGTTATAATATTTTTATCATTTTATTTTATTTTTTCAATTAAATTTTTTTTGTTTTATTATACTTTTATTACATTTTTTATTTCACTTTATTTCATTTTTTTATTTTATTGTACTGCATTTTATATTATCTACTACATTTTTTCTTATTTTTTTTATTTTGATTTAGGTTATTTCATTTTATTTAATTTAATTTTATTTAATTATTTTGTTTAAGTTTTTTATATTTTATTTCATTTTGTATATTTTATTTAATTTTCTTATATTGTATTATATACCATATCAGCGTTTTTAAAACATTTGCGATTCTAAAGTGTAATTTGATGATTTACTTTTTGACATGAATACAACGTAAAACCGTCACCTATTTCTTTTTGGCAAAGCACTTGCTCTAAAAGTTACCAAAAAACGTTTTTCCCACGAAATAAATTGGGTTTGTTTTAACTTTTGGCCATATATATTCGTGATTTTGCCTTCAAACAAATTTTAATTAATTAATTTTAAATTAGAGTCTCAGTCCATTTTTAACGTGTTGCCG